CCTACATGTGTGGAGGTCAAGTAAAGTCCTGGGGGTTTTGGAGTTATACCAGTAAGGTGCTGGTTTGTATGCTAATGGATCATTGTTTTGTTCACCATTAGGAGTATGACTTTTGATAAGACCTAGAGTCAGCAGAAGAGTTATGTCGTCAATCGCCGATCTGACCTGGTTTTCCGGGTTGGGGATATGGTTCTCCTGAATGTGTCACCTTGGAAGGGTGTCATCTGATTCAGGAAGATGGGCCTGGTTGCTTATTGTATGGATCTTTCCGAGGAGCTTAGTCAAATTATAACATGTTTCACGTCTCTCATTTGCAGAAGTGTTTGGTTGATGATTATGTGGTGGTTCCATTAGTGGATAATCACCTGAATTATATCGAGAGATCGGTGACGAGCCTTGATCGGAAGATGAAAACCTTGAGGAACAAGGTTGTTAAGTTGGTGAAGCTGTATTGTCAGCACCGCAAGGGTTCATAACGGACGTGGGAGACCGAGGTTGAGATGAGGGAGCATTACACTGAATTATTTGCAAGAGTGGAACTCGAGGATGAAGTCTGATTCAAGTGGGGGAGATTTGTAGCACTCGATTCAAGGTACTTTTCATTTTGACCCTTGGTGTTTAAATGTTTTGCAGATTTGGTCCCTAGGGGTCAGTCTTGCCAACTTTCGAAAAGTTGGAGTACACCAAGCATACTCCTTGTATGTTGGGCGTACGCATGCAGGGGACAAACCCTAAATTTTAGGGTTTAGACCTTATTAAAACAACATTATGACCCCTTATTCTCTTATTTCTCATCCACCAATGCCCTTAGAGTGCCATCTCGAAACCATAGCCTTCCTTAAATAGATTTAACCTATTGAGTGCGTGCTAGTAACAGTTGAAGAAGAAGAGCTTGGAAGAAGGAGCTTTGATCAAAGGGAACTTGTAGATCCAGATTTCTCAAATTATTTCCAGCTTTATTGAGGTATAAATCTTAGAACTTACTCCTTGTTTACTTAGATATAGTCTTTATGAAGTTTTGGTCCCTTTTTGGTCATATTATGAGATCTAGTGGATTCTTTCTACTCCGGGAGTTGGGAGTTCCTTCTCTTTATGTTTCTGAGGTACTTAGTCCATAAAGTTAGCATCTTGATGGTTGTGGATTAACCATGCATGTGTTTAGGTCATTACGATGAGAGTAGAATGCTTAAAGTGAGGTTTCGGTCCTTTTGAGCCATGCAAAGGCTCTAAGCTCATGACTTTATGGATTAAGACGTTTAATAAGACTTGGATCTGAAACTTGGTCTTTTGAGTGCAAGTATTAAGCACTTGATGGAAAAGTACTTAATGGACATGTACAATGCATGTATGTATGTGTACGCTACTTGTACGATGCTCAGTCCCTGATCATGCAAGGTTAAGTATTACGTTGGTCGTACCCAACTCGTACGCAGCGCGTACTTGGGATTCTCGATGTACGCGGGGCGTAAGCTTGAGTACGACAGGCGTACTCAACTGCCATTGGCTTTTGTTGACTTTCTTGGTTTGGCCCACTTTTGGACTAGAGGAGTTTTTAGCCCTATTGGACCATTAGCCTTCTGACCTTGGGCCTTCTTGGATATAGGCTGATGATGGGTTTTGGGCCAATTTAGGAAGTTGGGCAATACTGGGTGTTTTGGTGTTATTAGTTTGGGACTCGGTTTTGGGCCAAACAAGGAAAGGGTAAAATGGACTTTTACCTTGAGTGTTGACAATTAGAAGAGGATTCTGGCTATGGGTTGTTGACCAATTATTAATCGGATTTTATTTGATTGGTTAGCTAGGGGAATTTCTAGATCAGCAGTTTGAGCTTTTATTTGAGATATTCAACAGCTTGAGGTGAGTTTCCTCATTTGTTTGGCGGGTTGAAGGCTCCAATGCTGGCCTATGGGTTATTACAATTAGGATGCTTGTTGTCTGCATGACTCTTGCATGTATGATATCTGATATGTATATCGGTGGGGCCTGATGATTATATTGTATGTTATTTATCTTTGTGATTCTTGCATGTGTTTATGTGTTTGTATGTATATCGGGTGGGGCCCATTATTTACTGACAGATCTGTTCCGAGCGGGGCTCGATGTCGGACAGGACATCGGTTTTCAGTTATGTTTCATGTATTTCCGGATCTAAGGGGAAGAGCTTGGGGTGATCGCATCACACACACACCATGATCATTCCGCTTTTTATTCGACTCTGATGTATTTGGATGATTTTAATATACTTTGATTTCATCAAGGTTTTATGAACATGTTTTGAGTGATGGTTTTTATTATAATTAAAAAGAAATTTTTGGTCTTAAATTTTTGGGACGTTACAGGATCTCATCACCGCCACTTGTGCACTAGGGTTTCGAGATTTAATTGCCGGCTAGCATTTCGAGGTTGTGTGGGTTGCCGGAGATAGAGCCATCATCGTCACATGTTGGGTTGTACATTTCCGATGCAGTTATAGGTCTGATTTACAAAAGGGTGCATTGAAAATAAAAGAGAGAGAAGGTGAGGAGATGTAGCTACAATCAGGAGGAGATGTGTGGTCGCCAACATAGTTGTAGAAGAGATGAAAAGGTGTTAGAGCAGATTTGCGATGATGGTGCACATATGGCGAATGGAGAAGAGAGAATACAGACATGCGTGGATCTGCAACTCCCTGGATGGTAACCCGAAAAGAGAGAAAGAACGAGGTTGGTATTGCTAGAAAAAGGAGGAGGAGTGTTATTGGGTGTTTGTTGGCGGTAGGTGTGGATGAGGGACAAAGAAGAAAACTGGGGAAAGTGGGAAGGGGTGAGATTTTTTTTCTTTATTTTTTAATCTAAAAAATGATAAATAATTAATAGAAAAATAAAAAAGAAATTAAAGTTAAAATAGTTATTTTATGTTCGCTTCCCTAAGTGAAAAAAAAAAAATCAAAATGATGATCCGAGTTAATTTTTGAAATAAAGATTAAATATGTGTTTTAACACCTCTATGATGGACGATTCGTATAATTACTATTGTTAAAAATAACATACATTAATTCAGGGTAATATTCAGAAAGATGCTAATGTTTTTGTTATTGATTAAAAATAATGTAATTTTCGCAAAAGTCTCAATATATTACCGTTTTTTTGTGTATGTATGTGTGTGTGAATGTCTACATTTGAAAATGATTTCATAAATTGGCTAACTTGGGTATATCTTATTTGCAAGATAATAAACATGATTGTATTATTTTCCGTTCAAATGAAATGAATATTTGTGTGCTTTCCAAAAAAAAATTGTGGAATAGTTACGATTGGTTGGCTACATTTAGGTCATTGTTGGAAGTGACAACACCATAGTATACATATCAAAACCATAAATCTTAAGTGCTTACTGATTCAAGTATCATCATTGGATACTCATGATCATCTCACATGTATTGACCTCATAATGTCATTGGATAATTTTTAAATTTCAATGTATACGGTCAATGCTGCCAAGCATTCTAGGAAATCCATGTATGGATTCATGTGCAACATAAAAAAGTTGAATGCCGTTGGTTGTTGGTTTGCAAAAATATTTCTCCATACAACTTAATAATATCATATCATAAGTGTTGGATGCTTTCACGTGAAGTTCTTTATGAAATATTCGAGTATGCATCCAACGTATTTGTCGTGCTTTTGTATGCAAGTTGTTGTGTTGCATATGTGATTTTTGTAATGAGTTGGACTTCTCGGAACCTTGCTCCCACGTTGTTTAAAAAACATGGATATTTGTTTTCCGTATCTTCTTCAATACACTGGAATAAGTGTGTGCACATCCATAATCCTTTTCGAAATTGCTCGTCCCCAAAGATCGCACTGTTAGCAAAGTAATATCGAATCATATGTGTTTGACATCTTCACGGTCTCGCATAACATGAGTTCTCGGATTGCTAGGCACGCTTGAACTTTAGTATAAGAAACACTTTTTTCGGCTCTAGAAAGTGTTGCCAAATGAGGTAGTTAGTTTCTTCTTCGGGTGAAGATGAGAAAATATTATTTCTTTCCACAACATATTTGTTATACATACTAATTAGAACTTGATGATGAATCCATTGAATTGAAGATAATTGGAATATAACTAGAAAGAGTTGTAATGAAATTGGAGAAAATATATGGTTTTTGATAGGGGTGGTCGTTTGGATGGATCGGTTTGATCCAATCCAATCAAGTGAATTTAAATTAATTTTGATTTTCAAAATATAGATTCGTAGTCCAAATTAAATTCAAATTCGATCCAATCCGACCAAATTACAATTCGGTTGGATCAGTTTTTATAATTTAATTTTCAAAAACAGAAAATTTTAAAACCACATATAATCAGAATATTAGCCAACTTTATAGAAGAAACAAAAATTAATTATTTGGTTGTGGTTTAAAATTTATAAACAACTACTACACATTATATTATAGTTTATTATTTAATCGATAAAAAAACTTTTGGGTGAAAATACATATTAAAGTTTTTTATTAGGTCAAACTTTTTGTATCTATTAGAAAAAAAAATTATTGAATTCATTAATAATTACATATATATTAAAAATAAAAACAATAAACTGTAATTCAATATTTTTGGAAATTTCGGTTCATATTTTATAAACAAAAACCAACCTGAAATCCAAAATAATAATTTGTTTTTGTTGAAAACCAATCCAAAATATCCGAATCATATAGTCCGACTCAAATTGTATTGACAAACTTATAAACATCCCTGGTTTTTAAAGTCATTGAGTGGTTTACATAAGCATTAAAATAGGAAAAATAATATTTTTCTAGCCGTTTAAGCAATAGCTGTGAGGAGAGAGGGAAGATTGATATGACAATTATCAAAAGACGATGGTGTAAAGTGTAAGTTTGGTTTAAATCACAACCATTACTATACTTCAGGGGATAGAATTAAATTATAGAATAGATTGTATGTAAAAAAAAAAAAAAAAAAAAAAAGTTAAAATTACATTGACGCAAGCAAATAAGCAAAGCTTGCATCTTATGAAAAAGGGCCCTTTTTCAGTTTGCAGAATAAATAGAAGAAAACTCCAACAGATTAAATTATTAATACATTAAGTAACCTCATACTAATTAGGGGATTCGACATGAAAACAAGCACGAAATTCTGTACAAACAAACAAGATGGCTTGGCTTCTACCTTTCTATATAAAAATAAAATACATATATATATCTACAGTCTACAGTACGAAGCTAGTGAAACCATTAAAACTCGTAACTTAACAATCATGAAATCAAATTGTAAATAATTTAATGTTTTCACTTGTTGTAGCTGTGAATTGTGATGTGAGAGTTCATTGTTCATCCTTCCTCTTCTGTGGGCCCAGACATAGGCATTGGCATACTATTCTCCTGATTGTTTTGAATTTTCACCTCCACAGGATGCGTAGGGGAAGTACCTGCAGTTACATATCACATGTCACAAACTTAAACAGGGTGTTTACCTAAGGGTATTTTGGTCTTTTACAAAGTAAAAGGGTTATTGGAATAGAAATATGTGGGAGGTTGGAATCACACAAATGTAACTCCGAGTGATCATAACAGAAAGAGGAAAAGCTGAAATTGATCAAAGGGCAGTTTATATATTTTTATAAGTTTGTAACTAATATTCATATAGGTATCAACAAAATGAACAGGAATTTACAAGCAAATAAAGAGATCAATAAGCAATTCAATCATATATCATTTGTTTACATGCCAACAGAAACATATACATGTAAGGAATTCAATTCAATTCGCTTTGTATTTAAGTTCCTCAAACTCCAGGAATTTTAAACAATTGTTGTTCCTCTAAAAACATTATTAGAACCCTTTTCAAGGGAATTGGTAGGAAATAAAAGGAGCTGGATTCCTTCTAAAACCCCTACAGACTTGTGAAATAATTTAGTCTTTTAACAAATCATGGAATCTAAGGGATTTCGATGGAATTGAATCTCAAATTCCAATTCCATTGGATTCTACAGAACCCACGAACCAAACACACCCTTAGTGTAGTCTTCCTAATTCATGTGGATGTGTGAATGTTTGGAAATGAAAAGGAGATAAGGTAAGTGTCTTATAAACTGTGATTTAGTACGCATATTCAACATACAATATTACAATTATATAATGTCTTACCCGATATGGAGATGAATAGTTGATTCCTTCTATGTTCAATTTTTTGTTTTATATTCGTTTCCGATCCTAAGGCTGAATGTTTTTTAACTTATGATTGACACCTAGCACACTCCTAAGTCCTAACACAATTTCAGACTTTTGATCATTCAAATAGCGATAAAACTGATAGAACTTGCACCAAAGATTCGACATTTCATTAAAGTACGTTCAATCTTCAACTGCTATGTATGATTTGTGGAATCACGAGGTCAATGCCCTCACTACTTTATCACAAAAATCTTTTCTTCATATTAATTCTAACGTGTATTTTCGTAACTAACAAATCTACATTCTACACAATCCAATCCGTCATTTTTTTTGGTTCATCTATACTCGAACAAAGTTGAGGCTTGAAAACAAACCAAACGCAAAGCAAATAAAAAGACGATACCTTCAATGAAATAAGCTGATGAAGGCCAACCACGCGACGTACTAAGGGACATAGATTCGTCCTCGGTCAATGGATTGGTAATTTGATTCAGGACTTCGAAGAGGTCGTGAGATTCCGGTCGGTGGCGACGAGGAGGCACCCAGTATGATGAACCGGGAATGAAAGGGAGCCAATCCGGAGCCGATTGCCTCACGATGAGATTGTGGATAACATCATCAAGTTTTCTTAACCCTAGAACCTCTACATCTCCTTCCGATTCAAGGTCGATTTCAATCATTTGGGCTTTTCCCGACCGGCTGGAGAATCGACTCCGCTGCGATATCCCTAATTTGAATGTTTGCAAGGAATTCGAAGATGGTGATACAGTTCGAATTAGGGTTTGCGAGAGGAAACGAGCCATGGATTCGATATATACTACTGAGCGTAATTGTGTGGAAAAAGACGCATAAAAATGATTTCGTTGAGAAGCGATTGATATAAGAATCTATATAAGGGTTAATCCCATAAATTAAGGCCCAAGTTTCAATTTAACCTTTACCTTATCCTTCGTTATTAGAAACCGATCCAGGTGAAACTAATTCGGTTTGACTTGATAGAATATTAGAAACCGATTCCAAAATTCAGTTTTCACATTTAAAAAATCGATTTTCATATAGTATAAAAACTTGTTCACATTCTTCATTCTTTCAAATTGTTGTTCAATTCATTATTTTTTTAAAATACTTCAAATTGTTGTTCATACAAGATACCTTATGTAGGTTTTACAAAAACGGGTTTTCATCATTGCTATCATGGTTAATGCTTTGATAAATATCTTAAAAAAATATAAGTAGACTAAACAATCTCGAATTATGATAACAAGTTTGACAAAGTCAACAAAAACATTTTTTAAACGGGTTTAACCCATACTAATTTTAATTAAGCCGATTTAAACCGGTATTATTTTGTCAATCATGTTGATACCAATATTGTCGAAACTTGAACCAGTTTGATTTGAAAAACCGATATGTTCACCCTCATAGTGGTGGCAATCACGTTGTGTGCGGGGTTGGCAGGTCAGAAAGCTTAACCCGGATACGACCCATATAAATATTTGTGTCGTCTTGTTTAACCTTGACCAGAACAAGTCAAATTCAGATACAACCCGCGTAACCAATACAATTATAGAAGTGTGTTGGTCAGATTTAGGTTCTTTAATCCATGAAAGAAGTCTAAATATCACATATTTTATTAGTCTTTACTCTCTTGTTTATTTAACAATTTTCTTTTATCTTTTTTCAGTATCACGATACCTATAATAAACATGGGTTAGAAAAACTCAACTTAAACCCGTTTATTTGAGGGTCATAGTCCTAGGATGCTATGTGGTACAAGAAATTATTTTCCACTTCTACCCTTGAAAGCTTCCTAGTCCGATTCTTTTTATCTAGACATTTCCTCATGTTATGTTACTTCGCTTTTCATGCATTTTCCATCAATTTCCTTCAATTTTAGTTCATATATTCCTACAAATATCATTCAAAAAGATTCATTGTACGTAGATTCATTCCATATACAAATTAAGCTAATTATTGCAATAAAAGCAAAGGATAGACTCAAGGAAAATGGGTCGTTCAACACGCATTTATGAATTGTTTACACATTGAGGGTTGGCCAGTTTGTTCAAAATTCTTCTTTCTATTTTTGACATAAAATGTTAATTTGGACCAATGTTGATTCAGTCAGCTCGTAAGAGGAATACTTTCACAGTCATCAAATCATCGGTGTTGATCCTAACAAATGTACACATAGAAAAGAAATAATACCATAACAATTATAGCTAGCTCCAATGACAACCAATTGCTGAATTCCAAATATCTCTTGTTCTTATTATTTTCCCATTGTTGAAATGAAGAAGCTTATAAAAGGACATTGATGGGAGGAGTATCATTGTCATTTAATTCAAATAGTTCAATTCATCATAACATTGGGACAAGAATGAAACTCTAGTTAATACCTTATCAGATACAATATAAATAGGGATATGAAATAAATTAAAAGATACATAATTAATTAACCAACAAAAGTAATATACTACATATCTACATATAGTTACATTTTAAGATTACGACGACGAGACTCATTTGCCATGCATATATACATATAGTCGCATTTTGGTAGTGATGATAAAACATGCATGGATCGATGGACATTAAACATGTTCGAGTCTATATCAATGCACTATTCCCCTGTGGACAGTCGAGTCCATCTCCAAATGGGTTGGGTCTCTGATTAGGCATCGATTGTTGTGCAGACTGATTCGACGGTTGCGATTGTTGATGATTATATGGAACAAAGACGTTATTATGTTGTCGTTGTTGATGATATTGTTGTTGGTATGACACCTGGTTCATGTTATATTGTTGTTGTTGTTGCATCACTACCATCATCTGATCTTGTTGTGGAAGACGATGGTGGTATTGAAATGATTCGTGTTGCGTGCCATATTGATAACCCAGGTTACAACCTGTTTGCATTTGCTTCTTAGCTATGTCGTCTTCATACAAACTGTACAATAGCATCTTATCGAAACCACCACCCTGTGAGTGAAATCATATGACTATATATGAGTCTTGAACCAATGACAAATGAAAGAGAAACCATCGATCACTAACCATTTTGGTATGTGATATGGGACTGGTGTTATTAGGGTAATTACTTGTTGAGGGCACGAGTGCAAGATCCCAGCTTGAGGTGTTTTCGGTTTTAGAACATGTTAGATCTGATGGTATACTAGGTTGAACAATCGCAAGAGCCAATCTCGACACGTCGTTATCCTCTATTTCTACCTTTACTGGATTTGCTTCATCCAAACCCTACAGCAAATGTAGACATTAGTGCGAGAATAACTTATGGGTCATTTCAAATTGAGAACCTGAGTAGAGTACTCACTGGAGGATCATCATCGTCAATGACTATGAGTGGTAGAACTTCCTCTTCTACCTTCTGTACATGCTTCAGTTCTGGTTCTAGAACTTGCAGTACCTCTGCGTTTTCAATTTCTTGAGTTGCAGGTTCCATGGTTTCTTCTGCGACATCTTGATCATGCTCCTTCAGTTTTATATCAAATAAAGAAACAAATAGAATTCATTCTCGATTTATTTGAATATATGTTAACCGAAAAGATCACGATAAATAAGCCTCACCAGTTTCTTATCCGAATCCGAACCATTCGAAGAAATTCCTTTCACATATTCCTCCATTGTAACAAGAAACGAAGGTGGAGGCTGAAAATTTTAAAACATGTAATCAGAATCGGGTTCATAGTTTACAAATATCCTATTTACAAAAATCGAACCTGAGTCAATGTTGGAAACTGGATGTTCATTGAAAGACGCATATGTTTACCCAAATTGTAGAACTCCCCAAGTTGGTCTGTCTGATTCATGGAAATATTTTTCAACAATCAAATATAGAAGAATTAGGGAAAGAAATAAAGACGTTCAACCTGTTTTACAGATCTCTTGTAAATGTTTATAGCGGCAATAGCTTCGTCCTTCCCCAGGTCGAAGAACTGGTTGATATTAAAGATTGTTAATTAATTAATTGCCAATAAATTAATGGATATATAAACTCAATCAAACGATCAACACTAATAAAGAAAATGGTACCAATTCGACGAGTCTGATTATGCCGTCATTGATTACACAGTAGATTTTCAAGCTTTCTTTGATTACAAGAGCTAATGCATGTGGTATTAGATGATTATGATAAGCTGCTCCTTCGGGCTACAAAAAAGAAAAGGAAAATTGGGTAATTTCTTTATATAATTAGAAAAAAAGTATCATTATTCGAATTTTGATCGCATTTTTTTAACGTTTATCATCAGATCATTCACCTGGCAAGAGAAGAGACGATAGAGAAGTTGTTGCATTGCAGGTAGCTGTTCGAGTAATTCGTCAATGTTCATGAGTCGCGTTCTACTATATGCCTGTGGTAATTCATAAATATTCCTCGAGGTTAGTTAAGCCCATTTTGTAGAGGTTTTTGGGAACGTAACAAATGCCGACAAACCTTGTTGATTCCTGGAGTTGTTGCTAAACGCTCGGTTTCAATGTCGAATCCCACGATTCTGTAACACTCTAATCGTTCTTCAAGAAACGTGGCATACGTTCGAATCCATGAAGAACAATCCCAAGCTTTTCGGGAATTGAAACGTGTCAGAAAACGCAATGATTATAAGACGATTAAATAAAATATAGATAGAATGGATAAAGCTAATATCTTTATAGATCGTTTACCAAGCTGGCTTGAATCATCTCTGAAATCTTGAATTTGGAAAATGTGTCGCCGACGAGAATGAATTAGCAACTCTTCTCTAAAACTAGGATCACCCTCCCGTAAAATCCTGTGAAACACCATTAATGTCTTCATTGCAACCTGCAAATGAAATGAGCGGAAAATCGAAAATGGGGTTGCTTTGAAACATGAAACGGGGACAAGATGAGATTAAAGAAAAAGAAGACATTACAATCCAGTTCTTTGTTTTCATCAATCTCCTGGAAAGTGTATGAATGCAATATCCGACGTCTGCTCGTGGTGCAGCAGAAGATGTTGAAACGATAATCCCTAACATGCATGCAGAACAAAAGAATATTTAATTTAAAAAATTCCTGAAGAAAACTGAGAATTAGAAGGAAAGAAATAAAAAGCTTACTTTTAACGTGTAGGTCTTTTGGAGGGCATTCGTCATGATTGGTAGCTTTGACAATGGCGATATCAAGTTCCTTCCATTGAAAGTTGAAAATTGAGAAAAAGAATTATACTTGGATTAAAAAAGGGTGGTTTAAATGGAAGAATCGAAGAACCTTGAAATCGCTGCCGACTTTTGCAAGGCCAACGGTGGTGGAATCTTTGAGAGCTCCATAGGCTCTTCTCCAGCTTTCGAATGTACCCATCAAAACCCTAATCTTTGTATATATATTCTATGGAAATTTAAACCAAAATCAAAATGTTATAATATATTTATTAAGAATTTGAGAAAAGAAAAATGAGGATGTTGAATATGGGTTCTTGTTCTTGTTTTTTCTCGTCCTCTTTCTCTTTTTTTGTATCGTAGTTGATAAAAATAGAAAATGTTTATTTGGTTTTCAACAACATGCATTAGATCCTTTAAGTGTAGGGAGGATGTGGTTACGGATATTGACCATTTTTTATTTATTTGATATCTAATCAATTGTCTCAAATAAATATACATAATATAATATGAAAGCATCTACAAAGTTTATATAAAGTTTATATTGTCATCTAATTGATTTGGAGTTCAGCAAAAAAAAAATTAATAAACATTATAAATTAATTTTGACAATGTTCCATCAAACTTATAAAGTTTAGTGCAATGTAGGAAAAAAATTATACAATTGTATAGAATATAAAATTGTTATATGACAACTCATTTAAGTTTATAAATTTCAATGGTCGTGTTCGGCAAATTAGCTGGTAGCTAGTGGCTTGTAGCGGGTGGCGGGTAGCTTGTAGCATTTTGTTAAACGCTACATGAAGTAGAATTTGAATTTGAAGCGTTTTGTTTAAACTAAACGTTGGAAGCTTGTAGTGCCGAACGAGGCTTTCTGTTCAAAACGGGGCGTTTTGTCAAACGCTAGAAATTAGAAGCTCTCAAATGCACTGTACCAAACACACCTAATGTATTGTAGATGT